CGTCAACACAGGCATTTGGGTCTTAAATAAACGTTAATAGTTAAAGATAAAGCATGTGTACTAGTTGGCTATTATGCGATCCTGGCATTATATGATGAGATTTTAAAGGGATGTAGTTCACCCAAAAATTAAAATACTGTCATAATTTGCTCAGTTTCAAGTTGTTCTGAACATGTATGAATTTTATTTGAATTGACTTTGTTCTCCTCAACATAAAAGAAGATATTTTGAAGAATATTCGTAACCACTTTGTTGACTCCAATAGTGTTTTTTTTTTTTTATACTATGGAAGTCATTGGGGCACCGAAACTGTTTGGTTTCCCCACGTATCACCACCACTTCGGACGCCAGTGCAAGCTCTCCTACTACGGCTTCACCGAACTCATGGAGCTGTTTGAGGCCATTCCAGACGTTCTTCTGGTCGGTACACGAGCGCAGATGTGAAGGCGCTGGAGCGCTCGGCGGCAGTCTCTGACACGCTGTGTTTGTGTCTCAGGTGCTGGAGTGTGGAGAGGAGCGGCTGCTGGCGCTGACGGAGGTGGAGCGTGTGAAAGCGTTAGCGGCTCAGCTGGTGAAGCTGCTTCGAGCCCAGAGAGACTCCGGCTTTGCTGTCAGTCAGCTGCTGAGTGAATACAGCAAGACGTTTGGCTACAGCCTCCGCCTGCAGGACTACGACGCCGCCACGCTGCCCGCCCTGCTCAACAAGCTCTGCCACGTGGTGAAGGTGAACGTCATTTCCTTTCATTGCACTGATAAGCCTCCTTAAAAGCTGAAGACATTAAAGGTGTGGTTGAACTTTCGTGTGTAATGTTGCTGTTAGAGCATAAACAACGTCTGCAACGTTACGACACTCAAAGTTCAATGCAAAGTGCGATATTTTCTTTTAAAGAAATTGCTGTTTAAGGACTAGTGTGTGACCGCAGGACTGCCACGAGCTGGAGAACACACACACGCCGCAGAACACGTGTGTGTGTGTGTGTGTGTGTGTGTGCGCTCTTCTGTCAGATGACCACAATGAACCCAGAAGCCTCTCAGATTGTGACGTTAGCTGAACTTAACGAGCTTCATGTGAAGTAACGTGGACGTTCAGCCTCAAGACACTGGAGGTCTTGTATGATTTTAGTCTCCACCAGAAAGTCCTGTTAGTAGTTTTTTTTTATTTCTATGTCATGTCCAAATTTCTGTCATGTATAATAAATATCACAAGCATCATTTGGTGTCCTGCTTTCTGTTGTGTTCCTCTTGTGGAGGATCGCTGCCTCTCTGATGGTTTTCTCGGCTGTTAAAGGTCTGTTATCAGCTGTTTCAGATCATTTACAGAAGATCTGACACGTTGGTCTTTACCTGCAGCAGTTAAACACAGAACTTAGTCGAATTAGTTTAACTAGATGTTCATGACGTTAGCTGCTGTAGAACAACATGATTCATTAACAGTCAAAGTCAGATCAGTGCATACGAACATATACACAAGTTTCAGATTGAGAGTTTTTGTCATTAACAGTGTCATCACACTGGACGCAAACACCAGCAAGAAAAACAAGTTCTGGTGGAAAATATATCGTTAAATACAGCAGTTTTGAGCTGATCCAAGGTATGGTGTTATTGTGATCTGAACTGAAGATATCAGACCCATCTGCCACTCATAAACATCTGCTGTAATATCATAAAATAGCCATGTATTTGTTGATTTTGGAAAATGTTTATCACATACTGTTGTGAATCTCTGTCCTATGTGCTCAGATTTTATGTGGTTTAAATGGTTTAATAATTATAATAAAGCTAACATTGATAATTGTCATCCGGTTTTCTTCTGTAACACAAAAGAAGATCCTTAGAGAAATGCTACAGTGTTTGTCGATACAGTGAAAAGTCAGTAGGCATAAAATTCTTGCCAACATCTTCAAAATATCTTTTGTGTTTCGATGGAAGAAAATAAATCAACCCGTTTGGAAGGACATGAGGGAGAGGAAATCATGATGATGTTCGTGTGAATTACTTTCCCCTCTGCGTTTTCTTTTTAAGGATTATATTTTTGGAGCGGACTGTGAGCCGAGACTGATCACCTAACCGCTGTTCGTAGCTTCTGTGTTTCATTACGTAATCAAGCTGAAAGTCTAATTAATGAAGGAAGCAGACCTCGTCTCGCGTGTGCAGAGAAGCACTGTGTGTTTGGACATCAGATAATACACTAGCAATGAGCAGTACATTTGGTACAGTGTTTATTCATCTTTGTTAATGATAGTTAATAAAAATACAGTTGTTCATTGTTAGTTAATTTTAGCTCTGGTCCTTTAAATAATATTAACAGGTACAGCTTTTGATTTTAGTAATACATTTGTAAATGTTGCAATTAACATTAACATTAAGATTAATAAATGTCTTAGACATATTTTTAATTGTTAGTTCATTACTGTATTTGTTTAACTAATTTTAACAAATGCAACCTCATGGTAAAGTGTTTCCAAAGAAAGTTATGTATTGATGTGCATGTTTTGTCTCTTTGTGCATTCATGAGTTTTGGCTGAAGAACTGATGGCATTCAGTGTGTAAAAAAAGGCAAAGATGCAGAAAATCAAACCCCTTTCCACAGCACTGTATAAGCGATGCATCTGTGCTGAAAAACGAATCGCTGTGAACAAAGCTTGAATATCAGAACAGCAGTTTTCAAAACCGAATAAAGGAGCGACAGACTGCACGAAGATACTTTATTTGCAGAATATTCACGAGCTGATGTCCTTCTTCATTAGATTCAGTTTGTCTAATTATTTCTGATTATCAGGCCTGTTTAAATACCACCACATTTCAAAAGGCAAAGAAATGCTAAAACTTCAAACATAGTTTTCATGTTTATGCACATTTATAACTGTTCATGGTTCTGTTGATCCACTTCTGTATTCATGAACATGTTCTTATTTAAAGAAACGGTAACAAAACCCCCAAATGTCAGAATCACTTTATGGGGAATATGTTTTCTAATGTCTAAGACGAAGTATCTGTAAACTGTCAGATGAATCTAATACACACTGGATTAAGATGCATGTGTTTTTAAAAACTCATATCAGTGTTATTTAAGGTTTCTGTTTGACGGTGATTCTCTTGTGCTTGTGAACCATTCTTCGTGACTCTTATCATTAGGGTGAAGAATAAACGAATACTTCTCTCTGAGCTGGGTTTTGTGTTTTGTGTGGATGTTTCAGGCTCCTGAGCTCCTCCTGAGTCACTGACATGCTGCAGAATCACAGAGGAGCTGAACGTCTTTCTAATGCTCAGTCAACAGACTTATATTCATCAAATTCAGGTATGATTTGCTTTGGGGAATCTCGTGATCTTCACATGAGGACGCACTGAGTGGCTCCGCAGCAGTCCTTAATGAGGGCCGCGCTGCTCTTGCTGATGGAGGGTTTGTTGGCTGGAGGTTCAGTCGTTCTGGGCTTCGGAGCTCCTGCGGAGAGAAACCGAGCGGATCAGCAAACGTTACACGACTCACGTGCTTCATCCCGCCGCTGCGTTGTAACAAAATCATCTCAACTTTCACCCATTTGCCACTGACCTCTCAAAAAAAATCTGTGTTCGTGCTTTGGCTGGCGCTGAGCGAGAGACACGATTCTGTTGAGCTTATGAATGCAATGAGCAATCAGGTGTTCAGATGAGCCATGGCTGAAACACTGTGCTTTGTTCTGTGTGCGCTCTCTGATGAATTCTCTCATCACAAACAACAAAGTGCAGATGTGCGTACAAATGTAAGATATTCATTTCACAATGTAAACAGATTCAGTGATTATAATGGGAGTTTTTGAGACTTGAAGTCTTGATAATGAAATGATAATGTTCTTTGATAATGTAAATGTTCTTTGCCGTCCTTTTGTACAATGAAAGTGTTATAGTAAGTAACTTACAATGTTTTTATTAAGTTCACATTGAATACAAACTCAGTCGTAGTAAAAATATTTTAAGGCATGACACTCATATCTGGTACTTAAGTAAAAAGATGGGTTTTTATGCTTAGTTAATAGATTACACTAACATTAGTCTGCTTTGCCCATCGCCCATAGATCAACTAACAATCTATTAAAGTGCATGTACTGACACATATTTGAGAATCGAGATATTTCATCATATAGTTAACACGTTTGGGAATATTTCTAATAAAAAAGGAAAAATTAAGTAAAACATAAGCCTACTGCTGTGTGTCACATGACAACAAATAATAAGTAGATCTGTGAAGTCGGTCTTAAAGAGACGGCAGTTTGATAAACTGATTGCTGTCTGTGTCATTAATGTTAAACAACAAAAGACAGAAAATCACTCACTGCTCTTGACTGACTAACTGAATAACTTTAATTGTAAGTTTATTTATTTATACAGTGAAGACTATCCAGTGTTGTTTTACATTTGATTTCTTCAATTCTGTAGTCATTCTGTGTTAGACCTGAAAACGTAAAACACTGATTTCATTGTTATCAAATGTAGCTTTGCACACTGCCATCATCTAGAATGATTTTGATCAGTGTTTTAGTGTTCTTAGCAGAGGGCTCTCTTAATATTTTACATTTGATATAAGATTTTATGGGCTTTACATGTGCACCCCTGAAACCACAGAACACCCCACATAATGTATGTATGTCTGTACTTTCTTCTGCTGGAAGCTCCTGTCGTCAAGTCAAATTCCTTGTGTGTGTAAACATACTTGGTAATAAAGCTCTTCTGATTCTGATTCTGATAACAAATCCCAATTTAACCGCCGGTTAGAGTCGTGATCGCTGCCGTCACCAGGATGTTTTTCTCGTCTGAGCTCAAATTTGTTTTGTTTCAACACTTTATTCAGTGTTTACTGTGTGCACTTCATGCTTGTTACCCAGCAACAGCCCAGCGTGACGCTGCGTGCGCCGCCTGTCGTGTCATGAGCGAGCATGGGTCGTGTGACAGAAACGTCACAGATCTCTCCCACAGTGCAATACTAAATTATGTTTTATTAACAAGGTTCTGGAGGAGCACGATCAGATAATCAACCAGTTCGTCACAGTTCGCCCTCTTGACTACAGATAAGTCCCATGCTGGCACAGTCCTTAGGTGAGGAGGATTCAACCGCCGAGCACCTCTGAGGAACTTAACGACCAGGTCGTTTCTGCCAATTGTCCGGCCAGCCTCGGGGGAATGGTTTGCCGCGATGGCTGCCACATTTGACTTTGAGTGTGGAAGGGGTGCACCCCTTATCCAACAGCTCTTGCAAAAAGGTTAGCACGTGGGACACATCACATGAAATCGGATCCTGGTTACTTGCTGAACACCAGTCACTGAAGACTGACCACTTGAGGGTGTAGAGATGCCTTGTAGATGGAGCTCTAGCCTCTAGAAAGGTATTAGTGACTCTCGCTGGGAGTTGACCTGACTCCCGTCGAGTGGCCAGGCATGAAGGCTCCACAGTTCTGGCTGGGGATGCCAAATCTTGCCCTGTGCTTGCGAGAGAAGGTCTCTCCTCAGTGGTATTGACCACGGTGCTGCAGGCATCAGCTGGATCATCTCTGGGAAACAGACTTGGTTTGGGGGGCCACGAGGAGGAAAGAGCATTTCGTTTCCCTGACTCGCCTGATAACCTCGGGTAGCAGGGCGATTGCGGAGAAGGCATACAGATGGGTGTTTGGGCCAATCGTGGGAAAGAGCACCACGCTGTCTTGAGAAATAGGTTGGGCAGTGATAGCGATAGGTCGACCTCTGCCTTGCCGAAAACTGACCAAATCATCTGAACCATCTGGGGATGTAGTCTCCATTCCCCTGGAGCTACATTGTCCCTGGACAACATATCTGCTCCCTGGTTCAGTCTGCCTGGCACATGAACCGCTCGTAGTGAGAGGAGTTCTCTCTGTGCCCAAAGCAGGAGACGTCGAGTCATCCTGTGAAGGGGACGTGACCTGAGGCCGCCTTGGTGGTTGATATAGGCCACCACTGTCATGTTGTCCGAGCAGACCAAGACGTGGTGTCCCTTTAAGGCTGGCAGGAAGATTTTCAGGGCCAGACAAACAGCCAGAAATGCTGTCTGGGTGTCAGAAAACTCTTGGCTGAATTGATTTTAAGCCCAAGACACTCTAGGTGGTTGAGCAACAACGACCTGTGAGCGACAAGTTGCCGTTCTGATTCAGCCAGCACTAGCCAGTCGTCGAGGTAGTTCAAAATGCAAATTCCCATCTGTCTCAGACGGGAAAGAGCCATGTCTATGCACTTCGTAAAAGTGCGAGGGGCCAGGGACAGTCCAAACGGAAGGACCATCTACTGATAGGCCACTCCCTCAAAAGCGAATCTCAAGAATGATCTGTGACAGGGAGCTATTTGGATGTGAAAGTAAGCATCTTTCAGATCCACAGACAGAAACCAGTCCTCGGGCATTTTGTGCGAAGATCTGTTTCAAAGTTATCATTCTGAAAGGCTGTCGCATGAAGGCCCGACTCAGATGTCTGAGATCAAGAATTGGTTTGAGCCTGCCGTCTTTCTTGGGAATGAGGAAGTATCAGCTGTTAAAGCCTGACTTGCTGTTTGGTAAAGGGACCGTTTCCACGTTACCCTTTGCAAGCAGTGTTTGCACTTCGGCTTGGAGAATATGTGCTTCATTGTCCTGCACCAAAGTCTGCATGACACGCAGATCAGGACGGCTTCTTAGTCTCTGGGTCCAGCACTACGTGAGGGTACTGCCTGGCCGTCTGGGGGCGCTGTTGAAGCCCAGGCTCCGTCTTATTCTTAGTCGGGAGAGTCGG